ATCCGCAAGCTTTTGCGTTGTTACTGCGACCTTGGTTGGGAGAGATGGGAGGGGATAGATGCGCAACCAAACGATGCAATGAAACAACTTGATCATACCAGATTTATAGTCGACGATGTGGGACGCAACGAAATTGATTAGGACTCCGAATCGTAGTTGGAATCCGACTCTACCCGCAGATCCACCAAGATCCCGGAGGATTGACAGGCAGGACACTGGAGCGAAGCTGCGGAGGAGGGATTTTGACGACGCCAGGGCAAGGGCTTCCTCGTCGCAGTAGAAGCCTAGAAGGAAAGGGGAGTTTGGATCGAAACGCCATAGGCCACGTATATACGGCTTTTTTTTTCAAGAAAATATTCAATTAATTGGTTATCTACCCTACCAATTACCAATTAATTGATAGTGCCAAAATTACCAATTTTTTGGTACGATAAAATTAGCTAGCCTATGTTCGGTTTGATGCCCAATATAAAGCTAAATTTCAGTAAGACGGTGAAGAAAATTTTAAAATATAGCCAAATTAAGTATGGGCACAATTACTATTTAAGTTACTAAAATTTTGGTAGGGCATATTTTGATTTCAATCCAAAACAACCCTTTAATTACAAAATAAATAATTTGCATGCGAAAACGCCTGGCCCTCTATAAAAATTAATTATAATGAATACAATAGTGGAACGAGAAAAGAGAGAGGACAAGCTGGTGATCGTTCAAATAGGCGCGGCTCATGGATGGGGCTCTCCACAAAGGCGGGCGGCACGGCGACGATGTAGGTGGCGTTAGGGGTGAAAACGGTAACGGTAATTACCGGCCGACCGGCGTTCGTTTTTGACTTTCTACCGGCCGAGCCATATGGAAATGGTAATCGACCGAAACAAAAATGGAAATGGTAAAAAATATGGAAATGAAAACGGAAATGGTTTTGCTGTTATACCGATCGTTTCCGTATTTACCGTATTCTTGCGGAAATTACCGTTTCTTATAATATGGTAATTACCGTATTCTAAATATGTCGATATTATAGGACATGTCTATACTTTACCCACAGCTTATAGATTGAATGACTCTTCAATAAAATCTCTAACTTTTGTACATGGTTAAAATGAAGTTAATTTATAATTTATATAGTATAAGCTTGAATTTATGTATATATATAACATACTTATGTAAAGTTAAATATATATTTTTATAGTTTAATGTTTCCGTATTTGTTACCGGTTTCCGATCTGTACCGACATGTTTCCGTCCGTATTGTTCCGTTTCCGGTTTTCCGATATTTCCGATATCGTTTTCGTTTCCGACTTTACCGTTTTCGATTTTGTTTCCGAGAAAAATATGGTTACGGAAATGGTTTTGGCTGTTTTCCGATCGTTTCCGACCGTTTTCATCCTAGGTGGCGTCATGGGCGCGCAGGGCAGCGGTTGCAGGCGTAGGGAGTGGGCAGAGCGGCACGAGGAGTGCGCAGAGTGTGCGGCGACGCGAGCTGGGGATTTGGATCAGGTGCAGTTGGTACTGTGACTACAACTTATGCAGTCCACTGCCACCTGTTAGATCCGAATCTAACGGTCCACATGCACCCGGATACTGTAGATCACTGTAGCAAAAATATTCGGTATTTTGCGTTGACACTGTAGCTGATGATCTGGTCCATTCATCACCAAAATGAACGGCTGTAATCGCGTGCAGTAGTTAACTTGCAGTCGCTGTTCATACTGCAGGTGATCCCAATCCGCGAGCTGGACGTGGCCGGCGAGCCTCCGCTCGAGGCTGTTTGCCTCCTGTGCCTCCCAGGAGATCGGCACAGGAGTCTTTCCTCAGGCGTGAAAATATTCATCTTTCAAACACATGACCAAAAACTGAAAGGGTGGTTGCAATCACGATCTCCCCCATTATCGACGATCAGGGACGAAGCTAGGATAAATGGTCACCGGGGCCAAAGCTAGGATAAATGGTCACCGGGGCCAGTATTAACCAGGGTTTATGTTTTCGATCAAAACTGATCAAAAATCATGTAATTTTGATGTTTCGCCGTGGGACGAAAAGTATATTCTGAGTGAAATTTCGAATTTTTTTGAGACTTCACGGTAAAACTAGATCAAAACTTATTAAAATTAGGTAAAAAAATGTCATATCGCTACATTGGAATCCAATACTAGATCGAAAATATGTCATCTAGTTTGTAATTAATGATCTAAGATTATACATAATACAGGACAAAATTAATGACAATACATTATGATAAAATGAAATGTCTACAAATTTATTAAAAATTATACATTATTAATTTGTAAAAGACACCAAATGCACCAAAGATTATCAAAACCACTAATTTCTTGCCTTCTGTTCTGCTAGAAATAAGATGGTACTTCCTCCGTTTTAGGTTATAAGATGTTTTGACTTTGGTCAAAATTAAACTATTCTAAGTTTGATTAATTTTATAGACAAAAGTAGTAATATTTTTAACCCAAGACAAATATATTATGAAAATTTATTCATATTTTTAACCCAAGACAAATATATTATGAAAATTTATTCAATTATAGATTTAATGAAACTATGGTGATGTTGTAAATATTACTACTTTTTTTTCTACAGAATTAGTTAAACTTAGAGGAGTTTGACTTTGACCAAAGTCAAAACGTCTTGTAACCTGAAATGGAGGGAATATAAGATATCAAGATGCACAATGCCGGTGCAGGACAAAGTGCTCGAAGGAATACGATGACGCAAGAAGAGAAACTCGTGGAGTTGTGGGCTTCCAATGTTATTTTTGGATCCAAATCCCAATCGTATATATGTATATTCGGGTAATGTATAAATTATAAGTGCTAGCTAATTTGCTGTTTGTTAGTACCGTTCCTAGTCGCTAGTTGGATTTTGACGAAAGAATCAACGATATCACCGGGGTCTAGTTTTTCTCTTCACCGAGGTCATAGATGGTAAAATAAAGAGGGGTACCAGAGGTTCGCAAAAGATCGTTGGGGTCAACTGACCTCTATGAATGAGTGTAGCTTCGCCCCTGTCGATGATCCTACGTGCTCTCCCTCAAATTCACGGATTGAGAACCTGAGGATTCCTAAAAGCATTGCCAACAACACTAAAATTGAGATTTTTTTTAAAAAAAATGCTTCTTTAGTTCCCTATAGATGTATTAAAAATTGGAGTCCCTTTCTTCAATGGGGGATTCTAATAGGCGATCAATCGCCCTGGCATTAGGGGTAGCGATCAGATTCCCCCCTCCCTCCCTCCACATAGTTTCCTTTTTTGGCACCGTATTACTTTCCTATTTTAGTAAATTTATACGTCTAAAGTTTGTACACCTCAAGTTTACACATCTAAGTTTAGAGACCAAAAGTTTATATATCTAATTCAAATTTAAATTTGATATTTTTTATATATAGTATTTCTATGCATCTAAAGTTTATACACCTAAAGTTTATAGACCTAAAGTTTATAAGTCAAAAGTTTATATACCCGTTTCAAATTTGAATTTGAATTCAAATATTTTCTATATATAGTATTTCTATACATCTAAAGTTTATAGGCCTAAAGTTTATAAGTCAAAAGTTTACATACCCGATTCAAATTTGAATTTGAATTCAAATATTTTATATATATAGTATTTCTATACATCTAAAGTTTATACACCTAAAGTTTAAAGACCCAAAGTTTATAAGTCAAAAGTTTATATACCCGATTCAAATTTAAATTTTAATTCAAATTTTTTATATATAATATTTCTATACATAATTTTTTTTCTAACTTTTGTTTTTTTAAAAGAAGTTCGTGGTATACTGTAGTAGAAAGAGAAGAAGGGGAGGAGGAAGGGGGAGAAGAGAGAGGAGTATAGGGATCGATCTGATCGCGGTCCGATCCCGCAAGCGATCGATCGCTAATTATCCTTTCCGCCTTTCTTCTCCTTTCTCGCTCTCTATAAGCTGGGAGACGCTATCGCTCCCAATTTTCGCATGACAAGAGGAGAGAGCGACATGTGGGGAGAGATCACGTGTGGGAAGGGGATGGACGAAGTGATTTCTGTATCTGTTGGTAGTAAAGGGTGGATTTGATTTTTATTTCTGGGTGTTAATTTAAGATACTTCTGGGATAGAACAATCTATTTACCACTAGTAGAAAAAGCATTTTTCCCGACATGGGATCTTATTTTCGCAGGTGGACATGACCTTTAGAGCCAAATGACCGCCTACAAAAATATAAATCGGGGGCGGACCACTTAAGCGGCGCCTGCGAAAATAGACTTAATATAAATAGACTTGGGAGAGGAGTAGATTTTTTCTAAGTCCCGCACCTCACCCATCACCTCTCATCCCCTCCCCTCACCTCTCCTTCTCTCCCCTCCCCTCACCTCTCCTCCTCTCCCGGCGGCGGTGGCGGGCGGTGGCGGCGGCGCGGAGGGTCAAGGTGGCGTGGCTCCCGGCCCCTCCCTCCCAGGTCTGGCCAAAGGGGGGCGGGGGGAGAGCGGTGGCAGGCGGCTCCCGGCCCCTCCCTCCCAGATCTGGCCAGAGGGTGGCGGGGGGAGCATGGCGGCGGGCAATGGCGGCGAGGAGGGTCGAGGCGGCGCGGCCACGGCGGCGGAGGGGTTGAGGCGGTGGCGGCGGCTCCCGGCCGCCCCTCCCTCCCAGATCTAGCCGGAGGGGGGCGGGCCACGGCCGTGCGGCGGCGGCGCGGACGACGGAGGGCCGCGGCCATGCGGCGGCAGACGACGGCGCGAGCGGTGGACGACGGCTGGGCGGCGGCCGTGATTTTTTGATTGTTTTTATTTGCTTTCTTTGCTAGAATTGATTCGGTGATTTTGGATGAATTGATTCGGTGATTTTTGGATGAACTGGATGAATTGAATGGATTAGATGGGGAATGGGTGGGAACGGGAAGCTACCGCCGGAAATGGCGGTGTCTGTCTTTTTTTTTAGCGTTTGGAGCTATTTTCGCAAGTGGACCTGTTGTATGCCTGCGAAAATGGTTGATTTTTGCAGGCGTTGAGGTGCTGGCGGATGGCTTGTCCGCCTGCGAAAATATGTTTGGGCCGCTTGGGAAAGGTGTTTTTCTAGTAGTGTACACCTTAAAATTGAGTTAGGAATTTCAAAAACATAAATTTTGAAACAATTTTTGTATTTATACTGGGCATGCTCTGAGTTGTGGAGAACGAGATCAGTGAAGATGGGTTTTCAATTTTTGAGTATCTTTATGGAGAACTTGTTGGAGTTTATTTTAAAACTAAAAGAAATCCAAAATCTAGGATTGGGAGGTGCTGTTGGGCACGGTATTGTAACCGAGGTTCATAAAATTCTAGGATTGGGAGGAGCCATCGGTTTTCGTGTTTTTTTTTTACGTTCTGACGTGGCGCTATTTTTATTGGAATTTCTAATGCTTTCCGATAAATCAAAATGTCAAACATTAAAATTGATCAAAATTCAGCGGAATTTATCGAAAAGCGGTCGAAAATCATGATACGGATAGAGCTTGAAGGCCCCCTTTGAATCAAATGAAAAACCATAGGAATTCTAGAGGATTTTATCCTATGGGAAATAATCCTATAGAGTCATTTGAAACAAAGGATTGTTTTCTATCAATTCCTTTGAAATTCCTATGGAATGAACTTTACTAGAGCAATTTTGGAGGAAAATAAGCATGAGGTGATGAGGTCTCACCTCATGTTTTTCTCTTTATGTGTCTAAGGTTCCTGTATTTTTCCTGTATGCTAATCAAACGATAGTTTGAAGACTTTTCTGTGTTTCAAAATCCCATAGGAATCCAATAAGTGTGGCATTTAATTCCTACGTTTTTCCTATTCCTCTGTTTTCTCAATCCTGCGATTCAAAGGTGCCCGAATTCTAGCGGTCAGCTGGTAAGGTAAACCCTGCTTGTACAGTACAATAGAGTAATAGACAAGCCATAACCACAAAAGTACTGTAGTAGTGAAAAAAAAACCAGAAACAGCCGCAATCAAACACTCTTGAAAACCCTAATCCCCAAAACTCAGCAAAACCCAACTCGTGTTTCGTTCGCAAAGTGCCTGTGCAAAGGCTCAAATCCCCAAATCCATCGAAGAAATCTTGAGGAGACTTCGTTTGGACGTTTTCCCAGCGCGCTACAGTGTTTTGCCCCCGCGCACGCTTTTCAAACTACTACACGGTGTACTTTTTTGCAAAAAGTTTCTATACAAAAGTTGCTTAAAAAAATCAAATTAATCCATTTTTGAAAAAAAAATTAGCTAATACTTAATTAATCACGTGTTAATGAACCGTTTCGTTTTCCGTGTTACTGTAGCGCGCTGGGAAAACGTCCAAACGAACACAGCCCTAATCCGTGGCGTCGCCGATGGAGCGCACGGACGATGCGGTGGAGGCGGCCATTTGGGTACTTCCCAATCCGCCCGACTGGAGCGTGTTCCTGTTACCTCCCGCAGGAGCACGGGAGGGAGGCGGCTACGACAACGACAGCCGTGTCGAGATCAGCATCACCACGGGCACGGGGGGACACCAGGAGCGAGGCGCCTCCTCGTCTGCCGGCGGGCTCAGGGAAGGCGGCGCTGCGCGCGAGGTGGAGCGCGGTGGCGGAGATGTAGGCCTCACGGCCACCGCCATCTCAGGACGCCGCCGTGGAGATGGAAGCCTCGCAGCAGGCAGCAGCATCGCTGGAGGCCACGGCGGAGGTACTGCGGACGACGAGCCCCACAGCGAGGGCACCGTCGCGGGTGCAGTCCAAGGCCATCTCGCTGGAGTGGGAAGCCTCCCCACACCCACAGACGAGGCATCGCGGTTTGAGGGCAGGTATGAGGATGACTATAACCCATATGTGGATCTCTACAAATTTGGGCGACCGGCTCCTGATTTCTGGTATAGCGTCTGGATGCGTGGCCCCCTCGTTTTGCATGATAAGAAACTGTTACTGGCTAGTGATTCTCTTGGTGTTCATAGAGGTGGGGAGATTCCTGATTTGGCAGATGCTATAACTGATGTTCTAGATAATCATCCTGGACCAGTTTCTTACTTCAGAGTAGATTCCACCACATGGACTGATGACAATCAACTAGTCAAATGGTTTGAAACTCTATCCAACAAGTCTGTTGTAGAGATCACATTGCTAAACATTGGTTGTCCAGTTAGCACAATACTTCCTATCAGTGAGCTCTTGTCTCCTAACCTCACAACTCTTCGTGTTGGTTTTATGAAGATTCTCGATTCTGACCTTCTGTCATTTGAGTATTCGTCGTTAAGCGTGCTTCAACTCATTGGTTGCTCATATCGAGGAGCTGATCTAAATTATCTTGTCAGTACTAGCAATACACTAATTGAGCTCAACATTGGCTATTCAATGGAAGATCTCACAGTTAATTCACAGAGTCTACAAGAACTGCACATATGGAATAGCAGGGGGGGCTTTCTTTCCGTGGAATATGCTCCAAACCTCAAGTTGTTGACCACGGGCCTTAGACCAAAGAAAGGAAAATCTTTCATCTCGATCACATTAAAAGGGGCTCCTTCCTTGAGAGAGATTGATTACCTTCTGCTGCCGTCATCGAGTCACCCTAAATGACACAATGATCTCAAAGGTATAACTCAACTAATCATCTTGTAACAGCCTTTCAGTGTGTCCTTTAGATTGTTAGTCATACATAATTTTGTTTGTTGTTGCAGGAGATACGATGTGTTTCATCTATCAGGCAACTCCAAGTGGGTGTGAACTTTGCAGAACGAAGTCACAGAGCTAGTCTTCGCAATATACTTGAATGTTTTCCAGAATTATCAATGCTTGTGATTTGGGTATGTTCAATCTTTTGTTCAATGTATATCCAAATTATTTGGATATCTGTAGTAGATTAATGGTTGTTTTTGTTACCCTTTTTTTTTGCAGAGGATGGATGGTATTGTCTATGATAAAGGATCTGATGTACTATTCGATAGCTCTTTTGTGGGTCTTGGTAGTGTCTCTTGTGTCAAGACACGGATACAGTATTTTGAGTTAGAAGGTTTTCGTGGTGGGCCAGCTGAGATGGACATTGCTCGTGGGATCTTAAGACATGCTTCCAGGTTGGCTAAATTTGTCCTCTCACATCACAAAAACTACAGTGAGGAAGATCTGGTGGAGCAACTTGAAGAGATAAAAACTTGCATTCGTGCTTCAGAAGATTGTATTATTGAAGTCCACCCACTAAAAGACTCACCTTATTAAAGCACAAAGGAAAAGGTATACTCTCTCCTTGTTTTTTCTTTTTTTTTTCTTTTTGGCTATATGGGGTTGGATAGTGGCACTCAGTCTCAAATTTTATTGTTTTGAACCCTTTCCCGTGCTAAGTGATTTTGGATTTTGGACTTGTTGCTTATAGATTAGTTCCCCTTGTAGTTAACCACTTAATAGTTGTCAGAACTGGGCTGATGGGTCATGTGTCGTGCACAGCAAGATGTGTTGGTCGAGTCAAGTAGTGTCTGAGGTGTTGATTTAGAATATGGAACGATCACAATGGATCCTGTGGATGTTCCATTAAGATGACTCAATTAGCAGTAGCTGGCTAGCAGTTGTTCATATAATGGTTAAAATGACAGATAAAAGTAATGCACAGATTGCTTGAAATAGAAATTATCCATTCACAAAGGATCATCCAATTTGGTTTTATACTTACGCCCTGTTTATAGAGTCACAACTGCCTCTATATCTATTCTCGCGACAAAAATGGAGAAAAGCATATAGAAGAAAACAAAGACTACATGGCACTGACAGTGCTTGGCAATATTAACTATTTAGTGCTTTGATTGACTGCAGTGTGAAACTATGAGTTGCCTTTGTAGTGCCATGACTTATTGATTAAACATAAGAAGCATTACAATCTTCAAGCAAGAGATGCTTGACACAGTCTGGAGCCTCAGCTAACCAAACAGCACTACTGCCGTAGTGTATAATAGCATGCTGAGCTAGCTCATGTGCTACCTTATTTTGGTCTCTCTTAACCTTTGCTACACAAACCCCACCCAGTAAACTCATCAACTCATTTGCATCACTTATGCAGCCAGAATTACAAGACCAATAAATACAACTCATTTGCATCACTTATGCAGCCAGAATTACAAGACCAATAAATACTTGGTTTGCAACGACTGATAAGCTAAGGTGCCTTCTACACAAGCTGCAAATCCGGTTTCTTCCAGCATTGAGCAATTTACTGGCCATGCCAGGAAGATAACTGAGTATTGCCTGCACTATCTCTAATCACAAATCCTTCACCAGCTCGCCCAATGACAGCCATGAAACCGCCATTCACATTTAACTTCAAATAACTAGGATCAGGGGGTCCCCATCTTTCCGAAGGGTTGGGAGTCTGTATCTTTGCCTTTAGTTTTAAATTCTCCCCAAAATCAAAATTTTCCTTTCCTGTCTTTCCCTTCTTGTTCACATATTTACATTAGCAAGTTATGCATTGCTTCCAACAATCTTATAGCACCCTCTAAATTAATTCCCCTTTTCCATGAGTAATATCATTTCTTACATTCCCGCAAAAAAAATCATTTCTTACATTCCAATTCTTCCAAAACACAAACATTAATTAGCTTTTTCATCGACAGATATTCTATCCATTAATAATAAGAACCAATCTGGACCAGAGGTTTCATCCTTTGGCAAAGTCTAGTGCTACCGCATACCACGTAGTAAATGTTCTAGAGTGGGGACAATTAACCACTGCATGATAAGTTATCCTCCATAGCATCCTCCATAACACTGCCAGAGAAAGTATTAGTAGCCACGGTGTTCATCACAAGCCAACCTCCATGCAAAATTTTAACCTTCGGTGGTACCTCAGCTTGCCAATTATATTTGTAGGAAGGTCTGTCCCTTCTTAAACTACTAACTGTATGCACTTTTGACTGAAAAGATACCTGTTTTCTCAAAATGCCATGCCACTACATCATCGACTGGCCTCTTGTGGATCCTTATCTTAAGAATTTCTTCAGCATCAATTGGCAAGAACTCCTAATTAATCACATTAGGTAACCATTCACAACTAGTAGGGTCTATAAGATTCGAAACTACATTAGGTAGCCATTCACAACTAGTAGAGTCTATAAGATTCGAAACTATTCTTACTGTTGAACACCGCTGGCGAGTAATCAAATTCAGGAAGTGTTCTTGTGTTATCCAGTTATCCAGCCACACCCTAACCATCTCTCCTGAACCAATCCTCATAATAATGCCCTTTTTAAGCAATTGCACTGTTCAATACTCCCTCCGTTTCACAATGTAAGACATTCTAGTATTTCCCACATTCATATTGATATTAATGAATCTAGACATATATATCTATCTAGATTCATTAACATCAATATTTCTAGTGAAAATACTAGAATGACTTACATTGTGAAACGGAGGGAGTAGCTCTCTAGGTGAGAATGCATTGCCAGCAAAAACTGTATCAACAGGTTACCTGATGGAAAGTATTTCACTTCAGAAGCATTGCAGTAAACTATCTAGACAGAAAACTCGGCATGCTTGCCGAGAGGATAGAGTTTGGTTGAAAAGCTGCTATCTCTCAAACTTAAGCCTCCCACACCGTTGGACAATAACATATTCTCCCAAGAGCACCAGTGCGCTCTTATTTTACCATTTTCTGCTCCCCACCAATATTATCTTTACCATGTTCTGCTCCCCACCAATATTATCGTGTCATTTGCATGAACTCCTCTTGTAACGATGCTGGCAATTTGAAAATCCTCATCGTGTAGGTAGACAAGGCTTGAATAATAGATTTAATGAAAAGTTTCTTACCTGCCACTGATAAGTTACCTTCCACTCCTCAGCTAATCTTTTCCACAAATGTGCCTGAAGGCTACATACTACTGACAGTGGTTGGCAATATTAAGTATTTTGTACTTCGATTGACTCTAGTGTGAAACTGAGTTTCCTTTGTAGTGCCATGATAAATTTGATATGACTGTATTCGGTCAACAGTATCAAACAATGGCTTAGCAATAACATTTTTGGTGGGAGCATGTAAGAGCAATATTAGTTTTAAGTGAAAATTATGTGCCCGTTAATTCATTGCGATACCATATCTAATTGGTATGTAAGGTGACCACGAGGCCGCCGCACGCGAACCGGTTGATCTGCACCAGCAGCACATGCGGCGTCGGCGCGTCCGTGTTGACCGGCGGGTGGAGGCGCGCGAGCTCCGGCGACGGCGCGAGCGGGAGGTGGTCAGCGAGCTCGGACGACACCTCGGCCTCCACGACGAGTGCGCCGGCGCCACCTCTGCCCGTGACGAAGAACGGGCGGCGACGGGCGCCGCGGCGCTCGAGGCGCGCGGTGAGGAGCGGGAAGTGCGGGAGCATGGCGGAGAGAGCGTCGAGGAGGGCGCGGGTGGTCGGGTTGGGAGGCGAGAAGGCGAAGAGGACGGTGACGTGGTACGTCGGCGCGACGAGGTCGAACACGGTAAGCGGCACCTCCTCCGTCTCGCATGTCGGCGGCGGCGGCACGACCAAAGTCCTCTTGACCTGCACTTCCATTGTATCAATCTGGTTAGACAGATAGATAAACGATGCTCTTGAGTGATGAATGGATGGTGGCAATGGTTCATGTATATATAGCATGGCCGGTGCCGCTTGTGTACATGTATTGTATAGAGTATGTCACTAGGAGTGGATTTTGATTGCTCGAGGGGCCCTCGTTATTTGCGTATTACTCAAATGGTTATAAAAAAGTTTTAAAAAAATAAGAAGATGTGTTATTATGTGATACATCACTCTACAAATATTCTCTCGAGGGAAACTATCTTGATACATCACATAATAACACATCTTCTTATTTTTTTTAAATTCAACTTCTACATCTCATAGAAGAAAGACGAGCGGACATTCTCTCGAGGGATCGAGATAGTTTCCCGTATGTCACTGGCTCAGCTGTCTTGCGATTAACATTTGAAGTGTGTACGTGTCAATCCGTTGAGGCATGCAATGCTTGATTTGTTGGGCTGCCAGGAATTCAACCGTGCATACGTGCGATGGGTCTTAGTTGTACGGGAGACAAAAATACCTACTACGAGTACTAGGAACCGGACGTATATACGTTCAGATGAAGCAGGTATACGTAGACAGTGATCAAGATTGCGTGGATTACTCCGACTCCGATCGAATCCGAGTCCTAATCAATCTCGTTGTCCCTCACATCGTCGACTATAATAAAAATCTGGTACTCATCCAGTTGTTGCAACAACGCAAAAGCTGGTCTGACTGCTGCAGGCGATGGATCCGCCGGCTCGCAGATTGATGGATTCTCGGGCGGCGCAGTTGGCGGCGCCACTTCCTGATCCATACTCGGCAGAAACATTTGAAGACCTACTCCGAGAATTGGGAGTCGACCCTAGTATCCACACCATAGTCCGTAGCGCCGGGAGATGGATGGATCCGGCAGCGGCAGCAGCACGAGTTCCAGTGAGATTCCACCGCACGCTCCAACGCCTAGGAATCGACCCCAATAGCGATGCCCGGAGCATCCGCGACATGCTACAAGAGTTCTATCGAGTGGTGTACCATGGAGAGGTGTACTGGGCTGGCCGAGTCATCAGGCCTCGTCCTTCGTCCATGCCAACGCCCGTGATAGGACGACGTCGCCGCGCCGCCGACGGGGATGCCCCGATGCAGCCGCCGAGCAAGTACGCTCGAGTACACGCCGTGTCGCGCGATGTCCTCCTGGGCCTCGCGCTGACGAAGGCGTGCGACGCGAGGCAGGAGGAGTGCGCCGTGTGCCTCAGCGACTTCGAGGAGAAAGACAGGCTGAGGACGATGCCGTGTAACCACTCCTTCCACGAGAACTGCCTCTTCCGTTGGCTCAGGGATAGCTGCCTCTGCCCTCTCTGCCGCTACGCGCTGCCCAAGCAGCAGCAGGTTCAAAGCTGCTGATGATGCTATTTATGTTTCGGTTCACCAACAGATCCGTTGTATTTGCTATCGATGTAAAAGTAGAATCGTATTTCCAGACTCCAGTGGATCTGTTTCAAGACTAGTGCTTATGGAGGCAAAGCTGTTTATTTTAATCTTCAATTACTAGTACAATGCTTATGTTGCTGCGAGGCATATGGAGCCAATGTTTTGTTTGTTTCAGTTGACATCGTGGCTGTTGTTAACCAGCGGCCGTGCCAATAATGCTTATGTTTTGTCCATTGCTACAATAGCTATTTTTGCATGCCGTTGTTTTGATTTTTGTGTGCGGTAGATTCGCCCGTCGTGCGGGTGCGCCACCCGCACGCGAAAATCTTGCGGGTGCTTATGTCGCCAGCAAGGGAAAATAAAAAATCCAAAAAAAAATAAAATTTCAAAAAATGGAAACCCTAACCCTAGATCCGGACACCCCGCCGTCAGATCCGGGCGGTGGGCAGCCGTCGCCGCTCCCAACCGCCTCGCGCGAGTAGAGATGGCAATGGGCCCCGTTCACCGTTTCCCGCGGTGAATTCACCTATTAGGTGACGGGGATGGTTAATATGTATTCACCATGGGGAATAAAATGGTTACAATACTCTCACCATCGGGGATGACGGGGGCGGGGACGGTGAACCATTCCCCGTCCCCGCTCCCCACGGTGACCCGACTTTACTGTATAGAGGACTAATTTTAGACTTTTTACATGTTTTGGCCCATAATACTAAAGCCCATTTAACAGGCATATATAACTTCTAATCCTAAGTCAACCAGTCAACTTCAAATTCTCTACCCAAAATACCAAATCCTCCAGATCCGCACGCAGCCACCAGCCCACCACCGTCGTCCGCTAGTCCGCCGGGAAGCTCGGGAGTCAGGCACGCCACCGTGCACCGTCAATCCGCCGAGAGCTAGGCGCACCGCCGCTCGCTGCCTTCTCTCGCGCGGCGCGGGCGCCCGTCGATGCACCGTCGGGAGCCGCCGTCGGCAGGAGCCTCCGTCCACGCGCCGCCGGGAGCCTCCGTCCACGCGCAGTCAGGCGCGGCGCCTGTAGCCGTCGTCACCGGGAGCCGCCGTCGCCATCAACATCCGCCAGCGCCTTCCGTCGTCACTCGCCCGCACGTCGTCCATCGCCAGCACGCCATCCGCCGACGGCCGACCATGGCTTCGGCCTCCGCCCCCCGGTAAGCGACGATGCAAGGTCAGCTCATGCTACAATCCCTAATCCCTAATTGATACGGGGTCACCACGGGGAAAAAATCACCGCGTGGTGATTGGGGCTGGAGAAAATGTACCCCCGTCGTGGTTGACGGGGGCGGGGATGGTGAAATTTTTAAACCGCGGTGACGGGGACGCGGCGGTGACCCCCGACGGTGAATTCACCATTGCCATCTCTATGCGCGAGCGTGGAGAGGAGGGGAGGAGTGGTCGAGCAGCGGCAATGGCGGCACCACTCCCGGCCGGCGCCTTCTCCTCCTCGTCGTCGGCGGCAGCGGCCGCCGCGTCGCCTCGCCGTGCGGGATGGCCGCCGCGCCGCCCGCCGGGTCTGTGCCACCACCACCACCCCGTGGAGGAGGCCATTGCGTCTCCTTGCTGTGCGGGGATGACCGCCCGCTTGCCGCCGCCCCGCTCGTCGCTAGGGGTGAAAACGGTAACGGTAATTACCGGTCGACCGGCGTTCGTTTTCAACTTTCTACCGGCCGAGCCATATAGAAATGGTAATCGACCGAAACAAAAATGGAAATGGTAAAAAATATGGAAATGAAAATGGAAATAGTTTTGCTGTTATACCTATCATTTCCGTATTTACCGTATTCTTGCGGAAATTACCGTTTCTTATAATATGGTAATTACCGTATTCTAAATATGTCGATATTATAGGACATGTCTATACTTGACCCACAGCTTATAGATTGAATAACTCTTCAATAAATCTCTAACTTTTGTACATGGCTAAAATGAAGTTAATTTATAATTTATATAGTATAAGCTTGAATTTATGTATATATATAACATACTTATGTAAAGTTAAATATATGTTTTTATAGTTTAATGTTTCCGTATTTATTACCGGTTTCCGATCTGTACCGACATGTTTCCGTCCGTATTGTTTCGTTTCCGGTTTTCCGATATTTCCGATATCGTTTTCGTTTCCGACTTTACCGTTTCCGATTTCGTTTCCGAGAAAAATATGGTTACGGAAATGGTTGAGGCTGTTTTCCGATCGTTTCCGACCGTTTTCATCCCTACTCGTCGCCACCCGCTCGCTGCTCGCCGCCTCGCCGCGCATGTGGAAGGGGCCGCCGCGGACGCCTGGTGATGGAGGAGGGGAAGAGGAGGTAGAGAATAGAGATAAGGTGGTGACGGAGGAGGGGAGGAGGAGGTAGAGTATAGAGACAAGGTAGGGAGAGATGAGTGGTTAAGGTAGAATAAAGGGGAAAAAAAGGAAGAGAGAGGATATGTCAAAAATTTGAGGTGGGTGGAAGGGAAAGGAGATAGGTATTTTTCTGTGCGGTCCAGTTAAAAGGCCCGCGCGTGAAAATTGATTTTTCCGTGCGATCCTCTTAAGTCGACCGTACGGGATAATGAGGATTATCCCGTACAGTCGGATTAAGACGCACGCACGGGAAAATGCATTTTCCCGTGCGGGCATTTTCCCGTGCGGGCGATAACCCGGCGCACGGGGAAAATCTATCATGTAGTAGTGGTCACATGAGGATATTAATTAGCCTAAAAGTTTTGTCACGTGGTGGCCGTCGGCACGCAAAACGAAGCATGCATTATTGCACGATTAATTAAGTATTAGCTATTTTTTTCAAAAATGGATTAATTTGATTTTTAAAGCAACTTTCATATAGAAACTTTTTGCAAAAATCGCACCGTTTAGTAGTTTAAAAAGCGTGCACGCGGAAAACGAGGGAGAGGGGTTACACTGACCAAATACCAGAATCCTGAGTATAGCTGTAGTTGCTTATGCAAGAATCTAGTCAGAACTTATTTCAATTTTTGTGTTTCAGTTTGTACATAGCCTTCTAGTAAGGAGGCTCCACCTAATTTCTTGGGGAGTAGGGAGTTCCATGAAACGTACAATATGTATACGGCCGCTCTTAGAGGCACTTGTTTGGAACAAACCTTATTGCAAAACAATCTCAGTGATGGCGATCAAACACATATGTAAGTACAATTTGCCATAACTGGGAAGTCCAGATAACATCATATAGTATTGCTGTGTTAAAACTGGTCAGCAAATCATCATTACAGTCTCACGTCATCATCCATCAACTTGCACGAGCATCCTACAATTACTATGTGCAAGCAACAAAGAACGCGACCATACTTTTCGTTACTGGATGCAGACATGCAGTAATGTTACCTTTACAAATTTGAGCATTTTACGAATGTAAGTTCTTTTATAGACACATAAGGCGAAAACGCAGAAATGGCTTTGTCTCGAAAAAAAAAAGAAAGGCAGAAAGGGCAAAATTCGTATTTACATGATTTACATATCTATATCATCACCATCTATAAAGTCTTCATCACCATCTGATCACGCTTGGGTCTCAAAATTCTAGTCTGCTTGTTCGCATATATAGCACATCTCTCAAGCTTGTTCCCTGTATTAGTTTAAATATGTTAGATCCATGCCCAACACATTTATGATACATCAGTCAAAGGCAACATGTTAAGAACATAAGATATACCCCCATCTATTAAATTTCAGTTACAAACGTTCTATAACTCATCATGGAATTCATACAGATCAGATCATTTCAGTGGCTAACTGAACTGCAAGTAAATATGGTGGTAATATCATTTACAAGACAGGAAAAGTACCAGACCATGTTTCTTTTTCTATTATACTAAGACAAAAGGACATGCAATTAGATAACTAGGAGTTTAGAAACATCAAGAAAGAAGGAGACTACAGCTACAACGTTAAATGTGGAAGTAGATTTAATTTGTATGGTGTATTTATTAATGGACTCATCTCCAGACACAGGTCGGAACAAAGCTTTTGGCTGAACTCAAGTATTTAAGCTCAGTTGAAATACTTGTAAGTGCTACACTAGGTCACTCTCATCAAAGCATACATGCATCATTATCATCCCGTTTCCACTTGGCACCAAATTGCCGCTCATGCTGTGCTTGAGAAGTAAATGGTTGGTCAGAGAAACATGCCTGAATTAATTCTAGCCTTGAAATGAAGAATGCTTAATGGAAACTAGTGGAGAGTAAAAATGGAAAAACAGACCTTGAGATGTTGGTATGGAAAGTTCACTCAATTAGGGGAGACTGACATTGATTAATTCTAGCCTAACTGGTGTCATCATTTGTGCTATCCTTTTAACAAACTGTGCTATCTTTTTAACATGCATTACCTGTATTTGTCATAGCTGCTCTTCCTTATCTTCCGTATGGTTGATATCTTTCCTAATGACAAATGAAGGTATCGGTCTTGCATCTTGCACACGAAATTCAAAAATCTCTTCATCGGCATCAATGCATGATGCACTGCCTTTTTGATGTTCATGTGACTGTTTGTCAAATATACACGCATTATTCAAAATTTAATATAGAAATTAATGTCATTCAAAAAATAGTAAGAATAGAAATATTAGTGCAAATATAATAAATAGTGCAAAAATTAGTCTTATTTGAAAATATAAAAATATTTTGCAATGTTTAACCATTCGTCTTATTTGAAAAATTAATACAAATATAAAAATGATAAGTCATACTTAACTTTTGATAATAAAGCAAGTCACAAACAAAATAAATAATAATTTCACAATCTTTTGAATAAGACGAATGATCAAACGTTACAAACAAAAACTCAAAGCAACTAGTATTGTAGGATGGAGGTAGTAATGTAATTAAACTTTACTCGATAACAGGCTTACCATTACCTCTCCAAGGAAGAGCATTGGTCTGCTGACATCATCACCACCTGCAGGTTCTCTCATATTGCGCTCCCATGTTTCCAAAGCCAGAAACTCTGGAAAATCTAGATCTTTTACCTTGTTCAATTGTGATATTAGGCGCTCCATCTGATGCTGCATCAGTACAGATTCAAATAATATTAAAGAATAGAAATATGTAATACAAATGAAGTGCAAAACACAAGATGATCAAGATTGGAACAAGTATAAACTTGGACATCCAAGAGTAAGAATAGAACTTCCTTTCAGTCTGCACCTTCAGGCAAAAATAATACCGAGCCAATATCTTCAAAATTTCTTAATAGGTATAGAGATGCCCCACTAGTGTTGTCCTTTCTCATATATTCATGTATTAAAAACATTTATTGAAAGTTTATGCACAATTTCCTGCATAACAGAATGATTATTGCTGAATGCAGACATAATAATTTAGTCACTCTCTGAAAAGAGAAGGCCCTTTCATTACAAGGAAACAAACCATTGAAAAACAAGTTCATTTGCTATTCAAGTAATTACAATTTATATTTTTTACTACAAGTTGAACAATTTTGGCATTACATCATTAACATTTGATGTGCAGAAAATCAAATGTTTGTTTCTTGCAAAAAAGGGAGCAACCTCCATTCTTTGCAGAAAATCTTTCAGTTTTGCATGCCTGTCTCTTCTGGCATTATCACCATCACCCCCCCTTCCTCCCCAAGCAAGATCTCCAAAGTCTTGACTCAATTCTTCATTGCAATGCTTGCAGTGAAAATTGTTATCAATATGGCTTACAAGATCCAGTGCATTGAGGGATGAATACCTACAGCTCAACACAGAAATGACAGCTGTGCTAAAATCTTTTAGGTGGTACTATATGTCCATATAACAATCAAAATTAAGCTTTACTACCTCCTCTCACAGTTAGGGCACACATAGTTCTGAATCATGTAGTTTCCATCTAATTCATCCTTTAATTTCTTCTTCATCTCGTGGATCCTATACAGTGTGACATCATACACCTGCATTCAAGAAAAACATACACAATGAAAACAATCTTTACCAGATTAGATTAAAGGGGTTTGGAAAATTGGATAGGACTTTGCTTATAGGTTATAGCCTACATTAAACATGAGCCAGTAGCTGAAAATGAAACTACCAGCACATTACTCAACCTGTTTAGCATTATGCTAAGAGCAGAAAAAGAAAAAAAAAGCAATATTCAAGAAACATGTAGAAAGAAGTCAACCAGCTTCTTCATTTTTGTGAAGTTTTAAAAGAACTTCAGGTTCTTCATAACTACTGCCTGACCTCATTTAGGCAAATGGTTATATCATGAAATTGACTATTCTGTGTTGCCATCACATGGTAACAGAAAAGGATATTCTGGTATCCAGTTGTCTAATTACAGTTCGATAGTATCCCTAAGATGCAATTACTGATTGCCTAAACTTTGATACACTGCATGAGTCCAACTGCTTACAGTGTCAAACAAGTTTATGTTTTCAGAGGTATATAAAGCTCATTGTGTTATCCCATATATAAGGACATGATAAATACTATGTGAAGGTCATCATTAGTTGCAAACACAAAAGTTTTGTACTCTTGTAATGAAGGTCAGCATGCAAAAGACCTTGTATATGCAAAACACATAAATTTTGTTTTTCTCTAGACGAGCAATATCTTTGAAAAAAGATGCGTGTTTGATAAATAACCTGCCCATAGTGTAAGCAACAGTAGGGCTGCATGATCATCTTCAATTTCCCAGCTACATTGGTAGGAACAAGATGGGCATCATGCGAAACATGGGAGGGTGAGGCAGTTGAAATGCTTGCATCATGTATTGCCTGCGCCGAAAACAACACAAGGTCAGAAGGAAAGCAAGGGACTAGTCGATCAAAACTTATACAATTATACATATGGATTGCATCTACCAGACCCACCAACGAAACAAAAGAAGCAAGTTCAGCTCTCCTGAATTCTGATGCTACCATTAATGATTCTGTAAATATATTAAACCCTTTGGATGCTTACCTACATAAATTTAACCTAAAGTTGCTCCTACTTATTTCAATAGTGCTGCATGCACAATGTGCTGTTGATAAATGATCGATTACTGTAAGAAAACCAGTTTAAACAGATGACATTTTTTTAGTACACAGTAAACAGAGCATGCCTCCATATATGAATAAAAAAGACTACATAGGACGAAAGAATGGACTAACTTCCTTCCGATAGTATCTTCTCACTAATTTCTGCTGTTCGAGAAAATGGGTAATCTGACGCAATCGGTTGAATGGAATCATCAGACTTCTTGCTAAATCTTCCTCCCGGACCCACTGTTGCCTGAGGCAAAAAAGAAAAGAAGATAAAAGTTGCACTAAATCAGTACCTAAAGGCTCATAGAACTGCTCATGCACCTTTCACTTAGAGAAGTTGTGAGTACAAGATAATGGAATCACATTAATTATCAATGCTACAAAAACACCACCCTGATAAATACCCTGCAACAGCATCCCATAAATCCAACAATACATAGAGGTCTGCACTGATTATTCCTTATCACTGTTAACCTTTTACAGTAAATCTGAGCAGTGAATTAACCAACTCGGCCACCCATTGTTCTACTAGTGGGACTCCCAAAAAACGTAGCCTAAAAAACCACAAAAGCCAATCCCCCATTGGCACTCGCATCATCATTCATCAATTAGGTAATCGCATCCCCACCAACACCGAAGGGCGGACACACTCACAACAACACAAGCAGCACGGCACACCACCAAGGTCAGGGCTCCGGGTCTGGCTCAGGATTAAGCGATCTCACCTGGTGAGGGCATCGAGGACGACGACGACAATCCCACAGCTGCCGCTGCCGTTGGGTTTGGACTGGTCTTCCTCAAGCGAGACGTCCTCATAGAATCCTCGCGCCACCATCCTCACCAACCTACCAAACCAAGTTGCCAAACCGAAACCCAGTAAACCTCCTAAACCCCTAGAAGCCGAAGTACGAAGCAGGGGAGGGGCATATGGAGAGGAAGGCGAAGGGGAAGGGACCTCACCGATTTAACTGCTCCATGGTGTCCATGGCGGCGGAGGCGGAGGACGACGGCGAGCGGCGAGCGGCGGAGGATTTTAGCCGGCCGCGCAGCGTGGCGCGGAGGCTTGAGTTGAGGAGAGGAGAAACCGAGGAGAAAAATGGCTACCCCGAAATCCGAATCACCCAACTCGACCTGCCCTCTTTGGACTTCGGAGTTCGGACCGTTGGACTCGACCCAAACTTCCTCTCCTCTCCCCCTCCTTGCGCCGGAAGGAACAGGAGAACTCGGTGAGCTGAAAGGCTACGTGAACCGGCGCACGCTCAGCCCACGCGGGCCTTTTCCTTTTTTTTCTTTTTTTTTTCCTCTCCCACGCCGGTTTGTTCGAGGCTCCTGCAAATTGGACGCCTGATTTTTTTAAAAAAAAAATCGAGCGTTATTCCATTATAGACCGGAATTGTTTCACTAAGTAAATCGAAAATGTTTCAATATGGTAAAAAGCTGAAACACAACCAAATCACCTCATGAAACATTTTGCTACAACGTATGAAACAACGGTTTTCAAAAAATGGGCGATGTTTCACCCTCAATGTTTCAGCAATAACGAAAGAACATTTCAATTCTTAAAAAAAGTGAAACATGCTCAGATGGCTACATGAAACAATTTGGTTCAATGTATACAACAAACGATTTAAAGCCATTGCAACACTTAAATCCCGTGTACATCAACAAACCACGTGTCCATCAAGATGGAAAATATTAAACGGTACAAAAATCCACTGCAACATTTCATCCATACATAGTAAAACATCACGAGTATACTTGCTGAAACATTGTTGGTGAAATAAAAAATGAAACGAATTCCCTTAATAGGGCGTTTTCGTTATATCGGGACGACGGTTGCAATGGGGACACGCGTGGTGGGGGACACATGGAGCGTGGTGGAGATGCATGGAGCGCGTGTGGGCGGCGGGAGGCGCGGCGCCCGATTTTTCTCCCACCCATTGGGCGTCCAATGTGCGGCATTTTCGCAGTTTTTTTCTCTTCCACTCCAGGCCGAATAAGGACATTTTCTTTTCAACTCCATTTCCTTTTTTTATATTGTGTGCTTTCAAATAAATTTAAATTTGAAAATTTCGAGTAAAGTTTCTACTAAAATTTGAAACCTCCAATTCAAATTTTTAAAACTTTCAACTCAAAGTTTGGAAGCTCACAAATCAAAATTTGAAATTTTATTTCATATTTCAAAATTGTCAACTTAACTATTTATTTGTTATTTTTATTATAGAAATTATGCTTATCGCGGCATAGTTCTAGCGAATTGAGTTGGTAAGGCCTCTTGTTTCGTAACCTGCCTACCTGAGTTCAAATTGTAAACTTGGCATGTGTATTTAGATTTACGGCTAATTATTCTTTCAATAATAGGCAATGTACCCGTCAACAGCGAGACCACTATTGTGACTTCGTCAATTTTATGATATGCCTGCCTAATCTTCAAATGTACTTATATGAGTAAGGTGTGCGTGCGTGTTTATAGGGGGTGAGTGTGCGCGTGTGTATATGAGCGCCTGCATCTCTACGGTGGGTTTTTTAAAAATTTTTTGTAAGAGTAACCAATTACTGAATCTTTTGCACATAATTGCAAAGATTATTCTATTAAATGCCAATGTGTAATTTAAATGGTTTTGGCATACAAAAGATATAACCCCCATTTCATATCTCTTGCTTGCATTTTTTTTTCAGTCTTAGTTTTAGATAAACCAATAACTTCTGATACGTGGTACAGTGGTAAGCTTAGATAGGTCATAGATGGTCATAGATTTATTCGGTCTTTGTGTATCCATCCTCTTATTTGATCAATCTTCGTTGCTAGGCAACGATGTAGTGCTAGAAGGCATGACGGAGGCAAGATAGGGACGATAGGTAGACAGGGAGCCGGTGAGCGGCCGGCATAATTGTTATGCTGTTTTTTAAAAAAAAAAATTTGGTTAATTGCATCGTGTATAGTATAAACTAACTGAAATTATCCTTTGGACGATATACAATTACAGAGGAAAAAATAGTCTCGTGCCTATGATATGTTAGGTATGATCCACAATGATCTCAATATGAGTTGCACATGCGTGATTACTAGTTGCGAATAAAGGCACGGCCTCCACGGGGCGACAATGAGTATAAACATGCTATCTATGTCAAGTGCCATATCTCTGAAACTACAGCTTGTCAATTGCTATGTCCCAGATCACATCATATATTGTGTTAAAACTGGTAAATGACATCATCATATATTTCTGGTGTCCCTTTTCTAATGGCTACTTATACACAAGCGAAGACCAGTGTATCATTCGCTACTGATCCTCAGAAATTGTAGCATTTGACTACTCAGCAGGAGGTATACAGTTCTTCTCCACAAGCTTGAAAAGCAAAGTGCGGAAGGCAGAATTCATTTTTAGTTGATTTAAGTCAAACTAGTTTCATATACTCACGGTATGAATACTGTGATTAAATGTCCAACCATTGGTAATGTATCAAACTTGAGCCATCAGTCCTACTGTCCCAGTGTTTCAAACTTGGACCACTTAGCACATTCTGACATTAAGGAAGTAAGCAATTCTTCAGCCCTCTTCCCATTCATAATCATTACAACTTACTTCTTGGGTCTCCACATTCAGATCAGCAAACTTATATACCTCTTCTATATTTCCTACAGACACATTAGATCCAAAGTCAACACACTAAAAGATAAGATGAAAGTCGACATGTTAAAAAACATCGCACCAGTGAGCTTTCAGTTCAAAACATTGTATGACTAACATTTTTGACATATATAAATCGGGCCATATAATTAGCTAACTCAACCACAAGTCTGTGAAACAAAAAAAATGGTGGTAATATCATATAAATTCAAAAAATGATAACAAACAATTACCTTTTCATTATAGAAATACAAGGGGTATGTAATTAGATTACTAGAAAATGCTAGACTACAGCTAGAATAGTTGTTGATTAATATTTTACAGAAATTTTTTTGGCTCTTATGTGAAATTATAGATAGGAACACAAGTTTTGATCAAGAAATACCTGTTGATTGCCTCACTTTCAATTCAATGCCATCATCACCAGATTCACCACCATCATCACGTTTTGATTTGGCACCCAACCGCCTCTCAAACTGTGCATCAGAAGCAAATGGCTGGTCAGAAATACATGCTAGGCTTTCTTCTTGTATCGCCCTTTTGCCCTCATCTTCCTGCCTTTTCTGGATAGCCTCATAATAAGCTTTTGCGTATGCCTCCTACAGCATTAAATAAAAGGTGAATTTATATTTAACATTCACTCTACTAGATAGTTCTTGATTGTGAAACTTATAATTGATATTGAAATGCAAATTTTATCAGATCACCTGTATGCTCTTCATCTCATCTTCCTCTGAGAGCTGTTTCTTGTCACTCTTGGCTTCTGAACTTTGATCCAGATTTGCAGTGTTGTTGTTTTCTTCTTTATGTTCCCCCGCGAGGACTGTGCGCTTACGATTCATCCATGAGTGCTGTGGCTTTATACTTTCCATACCAGATTCAACACCTTCCTGTGCACCAGTACTTCCTAAGAAATTAACTTCAACCTGGAAAGGAGAATTGGATTAATCAGGCAGTGCAATATCTAGTTTAAATGAAGTAAATTTCACGATTAGTACTTACAGGGGCAAATCCTAATAATCAAACCATTTTATTCCAATCTAGAAAGCTAGTAGATGTTTCAGGAAGCATAGAAATTCTAGCAGTATTCCCAGCATAACACCATGGTCATGCTATATGCCTCAATCAATGTTGCCTTTATTGGCTCCACATTTATCTAAATTTGCACCTTTAGTTCTAATGAATACAGCTCAATGCATATACCAGGCTTACCTCTGTTTCCCCAAGGAAGGGCATTGGTTTACTGCTGTATCGCCCTTCTGAATTCTGAGATGAACCAACTGCACCATTTGCAGATGCCCCTATAGTTGCTCTTTCCCAATCTTGCAAACTCATAAAAGATGGAAAAGGAAGATCCTTTACCCTGTCAAGTACTGCTATTAGTGGTTTCAATTGCTCCTGCATTCATGCATGTTCAAATGTTAGAGCAGAAATCTATAAAACGCAGCATCACAATCCACACTATCATCAAGATTCTAGAACATGCACTTTGCCATCCATGTTTAAGCTAAAAACTTCCTTGCAGTCAGCATCTTGAGGGACACGCTTAGCCAATATGGGAGAACATACACCGTTGTATTTATTTTATATACGAGAAAAATGCATTAGCTGAATCATAAACATATACAAGTGATCAGCGAAGTGATGCTTCATAGATGACATAACCAATATATATAGAAATATTTTCATCTTTGCTATAGATGTTGAAACTATATATATGGTTCATATCAAAGAAAGTCCTTCTCACAACAATGAAATGCTATATTGTTATCGTGCTATTATCACAAATGCGATAATGGTTAGAGAGATGCTAAACTATGTATTGTCTATGTGCAATGTAAAAATTTATAGAAAGTTTATGCACAATTTACTGGATAGCAATCTGATTATTGGCCAAAATGCAGATTCACTAATTTAGTTTTTCTGACCAATGTAAAACAAATTTAATTATTTTCCGATAGTTATAGTATGTAAGCTGTACTAAAAACTGAACAATTCTAACATCATTTATGTTTGATCTATGCTCCCAAATTTGGTAACAAATTTCTAACTGAATAAAAAGTAATAACCTCCATTCTTTGCTGCATATCCTTCAGTTTATCGTGCGTATGCTTTATTGCATTGCCACCACCACACACAATTTCATCCAAAGTAAGCTTTTCACTTTCTGGACGAAGTTCTCCTTTGCAATGCTCGCAGTGAAAATAGTCATCCATATCGCTGACAAGTTGCAGTGCATCAAATGCTGAATACCTATGGTTCAACAGAGACAATAATGTAAGCTTCATTTTTTTATGTGGTACTATAGATCCAGAATAATCAGAAGTATACTTAGTACCTTCTTTTACAATTAGGACACACATAATGCTGAACTGTATCTCTGTCATCTAAGCCATCTTTCAATTTTTTCCTCATGCGGTGTATCCTATATCTTACAACATCATACACCTGTATTTCAGAAAAATATGCACATTACAATCTATATCAGATTATGACCAGATCAAAAGATGTTTTTGGATCATGGGATGGGTAAGGTACAAGCAGATTTTATTCTAAGACTGAAGATGGATAATGTTATCTCTAACGCTGTGGTGAGAGACAGATTTTATCTCACTTTCTGTTCAACAAATTTTCAGTAGGATTCTGTCCTAATAATTCTAATAAAGCCAAATGACTTAGATTTTGCCAACCTATGGAAGAGAAACCAATTTAATCAAAACACCCACCATGCATGCTGAAAAACTGCAATGTTCAATTGAAGTAATTTATATGAGAAGGTCCGCTTGTGTGATTTTTGGCCCATGCGGTTTTCTAATTATAGTTCAGTTATACCCCTAAGATGTGATTAATGATTTCTTTATTATTCGGTACAAAACATTGCATTAAGTCCAAGTGTTCACATCTTATAATGTTAAACAAGTTTCCATGCACAGAGTCTATATCAAATCTCAGTGAGCTCTACCACACGTAAAAACATAAGAAATAGATATAGTGCTACAATGCTACATGTCCCACACATGTGCTTTGTGGATCAATGTGAAAAGTCAAATATCTTGTTTATGCGAAAGATTTCAGCAAACAAGTTTCTCTTTCATTAGAGAAGTATTTTTTCCCTCAAACACGCAAGAGAATTACGCGTCATTTCGTTAAGAGAGGTGGGGGGGGGGGCGATCCCACCCCAAGAGTCAGAAAAAAACGTCATTAGAGAAGCAATTGTATTGAAGATTATATGTTCAATCGATAAGTAACCTGAGCATAGTCCAAACAACAGTAGGAATGTGTGTGCATCTTTGCTTTCTCTCCTCCCTTAGTAAAAGGATGCACATCACCAGCGGTGGCAGAGACATCGTTATATATGTTTACTCCTTTTGGTTACTGCTATGACATAAAACAACACAAGGTGAGAAGGGGCAAAAAAAAAACTGAGAATCAGATTAACAAACAAAGATGACTCCTGGATGTTCATATTGATTGCACCTCCGACCACACAACCCAGAAAACAAAAGAGTTCAAGCAATGTTCAGGTCACCTCATGCTGTCATTAATGATCCTGTGAATGTTGATTGTCTTAAGCTCTTTGGATGCTTATGTTCATAAAGTGAACCTAAAGTTACTCCTTATTTAGCAATACTGCACACACGAAGTGATTCAGTGTGCCAAGCAAAACAGTGTAAATAGAAGGCTAAATTTTTTAGTACATAGGAAAACAGAGCGGCCTTCATATCTGTAAGAAAATGACTATACAAGAGTGTGTGGCGCAAATGGTATCTAAAGAGCCCTATACAACAACCATCACAAAAAACAACAAAAAATCCATGGCACACATAGATAGTCAGATTTAACGAAATATGCATATTCCGGAAAATGGGAAAATGTTTAATATGGACTATAAAAAAGAGCATAGCACACACATGTTTATGCCTCTGCAGTATCAAAACACAGATGAAATATACATGACATAAAATTTCATTTATTGAAGTCCCACCTAAGTTCTGCTGAACTTTTCTGATTTGTCCATGTAAGATTATACAAGTCATTAATGCACCAAATATAGTTATGCAACTAATTCATTTCCCATGTATTTCCACTAATCACGTACAAGCTTATGTGAAGTAGGTGCTCAAAAACATATTTCTGGCACTCATTCTATAGTCTAAAGAAATAAAATAATAACACCACTGCATATAAATGTGGATAATTTGTAGAATATCTTGACATCTTGACTCGGTTGGAAAGTGGTCGGCAGTTTTTACTTTTTAGGATAAGTGGAAAATGGCTGAGGGCAAAACAGGTAGAGAGAAAATAGAAATGTAAACATTTTGCAAAAAGACCCCAACATGACAAATGCTAGAGATGCGCAATCTTTAATAGTGGCGATTCACTACTCACATTGGGAGTGGGTGGCATATCCTACAGTGCCAAACTGAGAGGCCGCAATCGTTGTCTCACTCTTCTATCAGGTCTTGCTTTCAGAAACTACTAATAAATTAACAACTTCTGTTTTAAGTGGAGTAGATGGCGATTCCATGCTAGAATAAAAAAAAAAGGCTATGCAAAAATGAGAACAACTTTCTCTCAGAAATTTCTAACCTCCTTCCGATGACATCTTCTCACCAGCTTCTCTTCTTCAAAAAACTGGAGAATGCGGCGCAGTTGCTTAGAGGAAATCTTTAATGCTTTAGCCAAATCTTCCTCTCGGACCCACTGGCGCCGCCTGTGGTAAAAAAAAGTATCACAATTGTGCATTGGCACTACATATAAATATATAATTAGTTACACACGAAAGAAGATAATAAATATTGAAATGAGAGAAAAAATGTTTCAGAGAGAGAGACAGAAGAAAGATAATAGATTTACTAAGAAGACTAAACTCTTTGTGATCAGAGTTGGACAATTGAAGCAGCTTCTCCAATTGCTGATTTCCATCTCTAGTAACCAAAATTTTCTTATTTGCGAAAGGGCAGGGGCACTGCCTCATGCATTGAATAAAGGAAGAAGAGTTATAGTAAGAGAGAGTGAGGAGTGGAAGCCGCCTCCTCACACAAGCCCGAAAACATTACACATACACTATAGGAAAATTTTATTAGGCTTGACAGAGGATGTACACTCCGGGGTGCGAAAGATAGGATTAAGGAGGAGAAAAAAAATGAATACAGACGTAAGGGCATAGTAGTCAAAACTGAGCAAGCAGCATTATAAAAAGAAAATGTGGGACATCAACGAGTACCATGTAGCACTACTTATATGGATTAGGAGGGAAAATGTTCTCTCAGCAGTTCCACATGGATAATGAGTCATAAGAAATTATTTGTTTCATAATGTTGTATACAAACTGGATCTAGTTGGTGATAGTGGTGATTAACCATTATTTCAAGTTGCATATTTGGAATGAAGCTATCAATTCTAGATGCCATAGATTTGATAAACGACAAACCATGAGCAGCAGTTACACCAAAACAGTACCTAAGGGATCATAACAAAATCGTTCATCATTCACTCTGAAAAAAATCTTCAAAAACTGGATCTACATTACCAATGCTTGTTTGAGCACTGAACAGGACGTTGTGGCCAACCTGCTTTAAGAAACGAAATAATCAATTTAACCTTGAAAAATAAATCCTGGACCATATGCCATAAATTTGACAATGCACAGGCACAAAAAGTCTGCATTAATTATCTGTTACTGTAAATTCTCCTTGCCTAAAATCGCAAGAGGCCAAGAGTGAAGAGCAGTATTCAACATGAAGGTTTCCTCATTGGCGCTAGCAACTAGCATCATCAATCAATCAGGTAAATGAAACCAACAGAACATGTAAGGAACAGAAACACACGCAACAGGGCACATTGATAAGCGACAGCACCGAGGTCAAAGCTTTGGTTCAGGATTTAGGTTTGATCTCACTCTCACCTGCCGAGGGCTTCGAGGACAACGACGGCAAGCCCACAGTTGTCGCCGCGAGCGGACTTGGGGTCTCTGGCCAGCGAGACGTCGTCGTAGAATGCGCGCGCCACCATCCTCACCATCCTGCCATGCCAGCCAAAAATCCCCAAACCAAAACCAATAAAATTACACCTCCCGCAGATGCCAACTATCATCAATGCAGCATGGATACACGGAGGGGAGCACAGTGGGAGGATCCGCACCGGTTCAAGGGCTCCATGGAGGCCATGGCGGCGACGGCGGCGACGGCGAGCGGCGGTTGGGGTTTCGCGGGTTTTCGCCGCGATCAAGGAGGTTTTAGCCGCTGCAGCGCAGGGCGCAAGGCTTGAGGACGAAGAATGCAGCGACCGCGCCGAGTTGGTTGGGTTGGGTTTCGTTTCGTTTCGTTCTCGAGTGTACCGACTCGTGTGGGTCGGACCCGAGCCCGACACGACTCCCCTCTCGTTTTAAGCGGTTTGGACTCGAACCCGACTCGACCATTTTTCTTCTTCTCACCTTCTTGCGGTGGAAGGAAACACGGGCGACTGAGCAGCTGAGTCCAACATCGCCGGGAGAGAGATGGCGGAGACATCGTCGGCGGCGGCGGCGGCGCAGACCGACGCGGAGAGGGAGGAGGCGCTGGACCGGATGCTGACGCGGCTGGCCCTCGCCGAAGACGCGCGGCTCGCGCCGCTGCTCGCCCGCGTCCTCCCCTACGCCATCACCTCGCTCGCCTCCGCCACCGCATCCGTCCGCAAGCTCGTAAGCATACCACTCCTCTGGTCCTGGGTCGATTGAAATTTGTATGTGAGACATATGTGTAGGTGTGTCATTATTCTCCTTCGGTTGGTTTAGTTGGTCTCTTGGTTGGTGATGTTTACAATGTTCCTGCTTCAATTTGATGAAATTCGAGCAACAGTGCGTATTATAGTGTTTTAGTGATTTGTTCATGTACACATAATCTTCTAAACGACATAATTAGAGAGACTATTGTGCTTTATGTTGCAAGAATTACTTGCATTTGTTACTGTAACCTGAACCTATTCAGAGGTAGCAGAGTGCCAGTCCTGTTTTCCTTCAGTTCTTTGCATGATTCTATAGCATAATTTCCATGTCAATTAGACAATGGCATGTAATGGAAAATAATACCATTTTTGGACTCCATTAGGTTATGGAAATTCTCAGCCACATTAACAAACGGGTGAAGCACAGGCCTGAGATTTCACTGCCCATGCTGGATTTATGGAGGATTTATACTGAATCTACTTCCTCCACAATAGTCCGGAATTTTTGCATTGTTTATATTGAGATGGCATTTGAACGTCTGCTAAGTGAGGTATCCTATTCTGCTTCGTTTGTTTCTCATTTTCTCTAGGCTGTTTTACCTTTTCTGCAAAGCCAACAACATGAAGTTAACATTCTGTAACAGGACAAGGGAAGCATAGCACCTGATCTTTTAATCAACATATCAAATGTTACAGAGCAGCATCAGGGAATCATCTTGAGACTTGTGGTGAAGGTTTGTCACAATTTAATTAAGACTGTTGTCCACCACAGAGTTTACACAATTTAGTCAAGTCTATAATGATTTTTGATAAGTTACTCATAGCTTCCTTTTCTTCCTTTGGTGTATCTGCATCCTAAAAAGCTTGCTAGTTTTTCTCTGTTTTTTTAAATCTTGTTGTCAGGCTATTGGTGAATGTAACACACATAAGGTGGGTGACAATGTTGCTTCAAAATATCAATCCATAAGTGGATCTAATGATGGTCTAGTCTTCGCTGACTTCTGTTTTCACACAGTACTGTATCAAACACCACCTCAAGGGTAGGTTTCCTTGCTAAATTAGGTACAAGTATGAAACTTTTTTTTATTTATGGAGAGTTGACTGCTAGTATTCTTCAGTGTTGGATGCCCGGCAGGACTTTCGGTTGCTCAATCAGATCGTGTTACTGGAAAGCAGCCACTAAAAGGTGACACACTTACATCAAGAAAGGTAATACAGAAATGCATGTATCATTTATTCATGTTATGCCTGTGTATGCAATCATGTCAGCATATACATTCGCACATTTTAAGTCCTTGAGTATAGTAACTGCACCTTCTTACAGTTGAATTTCACTTGTGATATCTTCAGCTAGGAATCTTGAACGTCATTGAAGCTATGCAGTTGGCACCAGAGATTGTTTACCCTCTTTATTTAGCTGCTGCTTCAGATAGGTACTTTTTTGGAATTATGTTTACAATCCGCTGAAATGTTTGTACGGATCATTAATCATGAGGATCACTGTTTCAATGAAGTCAAGAGTCAGTTACTAAGAGAGGAGAGGAGTTATTAAAGCGCAAAGCTTCAGCTGTGAACCTAGAAGATTCCAACCTTATGAAGAAACTGTTCACACTATTCAATGGTATGCATTAAGGATTTTGTAGCATGCTAACTCAAGCAAATTTATATTTCAATATAATACTGTCACTTTGTTCTTATGTATTGTCATTTTTGTTGGGTGGCATATGTTATTCTGTCCTTGAGGTGACTAAAATGCATTGTTGAAATCCAGTTCCTTACATAAAGGGCAAAGCTAAAATTAAAATCATCTAGTATAACTTTGCCTCCACTTCAAATTATATATAGAAGGCTTTATAGTTTTCTCGAGCTTTATTGTTGCATGGTCAAAAGATGGGTGCGGATACCTTTGTTGCCCCTCATCTTCATAACCCTAGCAAGGTCCTTTTGGTACAGCACGTGTCTATTCCATGAACATATTTCCTCCAGCCTAGTCCCGAAGCAGTAGGTCATTGGGGGTACCCCTCCAACAAGTTTCATTTAAAATATATCACTCATGAGGATTTACTGATCCTTTTTACACCATCTTCTCTCACCTTGTAATTATAACTAATGTTCTCACTAACTGTTCTCTTCCGTATTTTTAACTGAGATAACAAGGTCATGTCCTCTCCTTCTCTTGTTTTCATACCCTTCTTAATACTTGTTCCCATCCAAAGTAAGCCTTACATTTTGTAAAGGTTTGTGTATGTTAGCAGGCCAGCATTTGCACATGGCACTCTCCTGTACCAACATGTACACAATGCTTCTCTTTATTTTGTTTTGTAAAAATCTCTTGCTTGTTTTTATCAGTGCAAATCTGAATATTTGTGGTTTCTCATGGTATATGATAGATACTGTTCTCTTTTGCCTCAGGTACTGCAAGTCCAGAAAATATAGCTGCAGAGCTGAAAGTCGCCCCAGCACATAGTTCACTGCGAGTCCGCCTTATGGGTGTTTTCTGCCGATCGATTGCTGCAGCAAACGCATTCCCGTACACACTTCAGTGCATCTTTGGCTGCATCTATGGTATTCTGTTTATATATATTTTTACTTTGTGTATTTATTTTAGTTTTCTTATTTGTTGTCATGACCAATAAAATGAAATTTTAATAAGCTGTGTATTAACAAATGCACTCTTTTACTAGTTTTGATTATTTACATCACCAAACCACATCTTTAAGTAGTACATAGAAACTGATTTGGTATGTTTGTCCTTTTGTACAATAATCTTTCTTTTAAGCATCTTTTAGAGTTTTATGGAATGGTAGGAGCAGCAGAGGATGATCTTCTGAAAAACTATTAATATCAAATTAACAATAATGTACAGCATACATTACAATAGAATGATAAAAGATAAAGGTGGGCCTAGAAATTTATATCTGGAACAAGTGAAAGAGTTAAAAGATATGGGCTAGGGTTCATGGAGGATAAACACCATTAGGAGGATAGCAAGGTGGCAGCGGCTCCCTGGGATGAGAAGTAGGCATAGACTGGGATGCAGAACATTGAGGACAATGGATTGATATTTTTTCTTGCTAACAGTGACATCCTTATATAGAGGTGCTAGAGCCCAAATGATAGAAACTAAATAAAATCATACCTTGGATATAGCCATCTACTTCCATGAAATATCTAACATAGAAACTAATAATCCTTATCCCCAAATCAATTGCGCAGCCCATAACACATATATGCATGACTTCCTTTAAAGAGGGAAATGCAAGATGAGGACTTCATTTGCTTTTTAAGTGTCTATTTCTATGATATGGAACACATTCTATGATATTTCTTGTTATGTTGCATTCAATTCATTGCTAAAACTACTCAATTGACATTTCAGCAAGGCAATAACTCAACTTCAGCATGCCATGTATCGTTACTAAACTCATATTTGTTTCTGCTGTGTTTCTATGCCTGAAGGAAACGGGACTACTTCAAGGCTGAAGCAGTTAGGGATGGAGTTCACTGTCTGGGTTTTCAAACATGTAGGTGCACTTTGTATGTTTTCAGTTCACCAACATTGATTAGCTTCTAGCATTCTTTACTTGTGCTCTTCCAATTTTAGTTTTTTCACTTGGAGCAGTTCTGTTCCTTTCTGTCAACCTTGTTTCATGGTCTCAAACTTTTATCAATTATCATTGTTTCCTTATTGATTTAGGCAGCAAATGACCAGCTAAAGTTAATTGGTCCAGTCATTCTCAGTGGAATATTACGTTCACTTGATGGTTCTTCCACTACTGAAGCAGGTTTTGCACTTGTCATCGACTCTACTTGTTTAGGCATGCATGTGATTTATCTTCACATCCCTTTGCTTTGAATTACTTGGGTTTTAACACTTCTTTGACTTCCTATTTTGCCATGTCAAATAAGTTGAGAAACAGTGAATGATTTATTGATTTCCTTTATGTCCAGATTCTTCCAGTAGGGATATTAAAATATTTGCCTACCAGGCAATTGGTTTGCTTGCCACTCGCATGCCTAATTTATTCAGGTATGCCCTTTTCTTACTCTTCTGCTTTCTTGCCTCGTGATTCATTTCTGTTATGGAGACTGATTTTTTCTACTTTTTATGAACATTGCAGCAACAAAACTGACATGGCTATACGACTCTTTACTGCTTTAAGATTAGAGGAGCAATCTCTTCGTTTGACAATTCAGGAGGCAGCTACTGCCCTTGCTACAGCATACAAGGTACTTACTTGTAGGATATGCTAATTTCCTCCAAAATGGTGCTGTACTGCTGTCCTGACCTGTTAAAAATGTTGGCAAAGATGGTTGTGA